GAGGTCAAATCGAGGGTGGGGAGTAGCTTCCAAGAAGCTAAGCAGGTACCTGATGTTTCCAGAGTCAAGAATAGACAGCTAGAAAACAGAAAGTCAGGTGTGGATTGGGGACTAAAGCTAGGAGGGGCGAAGACTCTAAGTCATCATAGCTTTGAGGAAAGAGTAGAGGGGAAAGGCAAGTGACTGCTGCTTTGAGAAAACTAATGTAGCCTTTGGGAGTAGTACTCAGGGCACAGAGGGAGCAGCTGGCTAGGGTACAAGGTCAGTCCTGTAGCCTCGTGTTGGAGACAGCTGAATTAGTAAGCTGAGTTCACAAGATTGTTTTTGATGACCACATCACACAGGGGACTCAAGGAGAGCCTCAAAGCTTATCTAATTGGATAAATTTCCACCTGGTGCCTTGTTGTCAATTCTCATTTGCTTGGACTGTGTTCCTGTTGGGTCCTATGGAAGCCAAGGGTGAAGAGGATGCACCCAAATCCCTTACATTCCTCCCAGCACCAGACTAAAAGGCAGAGGTCATCAGAGTCAGAGACTGGGTCTATTAGAGACTGAAGTTGATGCTAAGCAATTCTCTGAAAGATTTCCAGTTTGGCCTCTTTGAATACCCCCTTTGGATGTCTGGGGCACTGAGTCACATAGACAGCCTTTGATTTGCCAGCCTCAGTAGTGGCAACTATAAAATAATGGTCACCTTGCTTGGCGGTTGTGTGAGAAGCCAGCCCTGATGTGCTTCCCTGTAATTCTCATCTCAGCTTTCGTTCTGATCACCAAGCATCTAGAGTCAGCCCTGAGCATGTAACTCTGACTGAACATAAGTGTCATTGGTACTTCCTATGTCCCCATGTTCTTCATCTTGAATCACCGTGGATCTTATCTTTTACCCAGACTCATTCTCTGCATTTGTCTATCACCTTTGAACTACCAATGCCCTCCTTTTATAAATAGGAAGGCAAATCCCTAGTTACTGCTGCCAAATATCTTAGAGAATGCTTAAGAGAAAGTTGAGTTTTCTGCGCATTCATATTGTATCTGAAGCCTGAATGGACCAGTCAAGCATAGTTGCTTCTGATAACCTCACCATAGTGCCTGTGCTTTCAGCTCTGAGACCTTTTGGTTAAACTCACTGAACTTTTCTAATACCATGTTTTTACTTTTCGTATGACTACCTGGAATCTAGCTGCTCATATGTGTTACTCAAGCATGTACCTACCTCTGGTTGGTTATGGTATTCACTGAAGGGGTTTCTATAATAACATCTTAATCTTTGAGGGAAGGTTTTCTAGTACTTTAATTAAGACCCTCACTTACCTTGGATCATAGTACCTGATTCTACTCTGGAAATAGTGGTTGTCAAGCTGATCATTTCCTGCTTCTGAAAATCCCATCTTATATCGAATCTAGAACACTATGGCCAGCCGTGTTTTCTGTCCCTTTCTGGATGCTCATGGTTTGTATACATGTTTGTCTGCCTCTACCTACTCCTTGGACATCACCGAGCTTCAAATCTCTCTTCCAGGCCTGCTTCTCTTTTTACTTGTTTTTCCCTTCCTGGGTAATCTCATGAACTCTCAGGCTGCAAATACCATCTATGGATAGTTACGAATTGATCCTTTTACCTACAGCTCAGACTTTCCCTCTGGAGCTCCAGACTCATACTTTTAGCTACCTACCTTCAATTTTAAAGTACTCCAAAGTCAAGCATAGATTCACTCTAAAGGTTTTTTTTTGTACAGCTTCTAAAACCCATAAATCCCACTCTCATCTACCATGTCATGCAAACCAAAGCTCTGTGCCCACTCTTGACATTTTTTTCTCCTTTATCCCCATTGCTCTATTGACAATTTCATAATATTCACTTTAACAATCACCTCTTTTATTATATCTTGCAATCTCCATTGCTGTTTCTTGAGTCTTTGTGACTATCATCTTCCACCTGGATGCATACAGAAGTCTCCAGGCTCATTTCTCCAAGCCACTTTGGCTCCCCATTGAAGCTGGGCTGATATGCTGGGACATAAATGTTACTACATTGTAATCTCATGAACAGAGTTTAAATGTCTCTCTCTGTTTCTTGGGCTACAGAACAAAACTCGTAGCATATAGTATCATGTGTAAACAGTTCTACTGCCCTCTCCAGCCTCTTTTCTTAGCCTTTTCTGTTTTTTTTAACCTCTTACATACTACATTTCTGCCATACACCAGATCCCTTGCCAGTCACACAACCTGACCCAGGATGTCAGCTTTACTACCTCTTTATGCTTCAGTTGTCTAGATACAGCCCTGTTGGTCATTCCTCCCAAGAGTGATTTACTTCCCTGTTCTGTTCTTTTTGAGGGGGTCCTGTGGCTCTCTATCCAAACCTTTAACAAAGCTGAAAGTTTGTCATTACTCGCTTCTTGTCTTATTATGTCCTTACAGTTAGAAATGCCAGTGATTGCACACTCCCTGGGGACAGTGACTGTGTCTGTTTTGGTCACTATGACATCTCCAGATGTCTGCCACTAATGGAAGTTTGCAAATACTTTCCTAAGGAATAGAGCGTGAGTCTTGTTAGGCCAAGTGATGACAGGGATTTTATATAGGAAAAAGCTCTCAGAGGATCTCTGCCTTGAACTCCTATCCTCTAGAACAGGACCTTAACACAAGCACTAAGTAAAGTTTAACTACACCAAGGAGTCAATGATCTCAAGCCAACCTTTTCTCTAAATCTGAATATAAAGATTCAGTATTGGGGAGCTTTTGAATTTGAGGTATTCTCTTTCCTTTGGTGTCAATACATTATAATCTAGCTTTTTATTGGGAATCATATCTTAAGTCATAAATTAGGGGCTACTTAAGAGCCACTCAGGATTACCCCCACTCTGTAATGTCAGACTGCCCTGGCTAAAGATGTGTTGGCAATTCCAACATAAACCAGGAAATCACAGGATTGTAGAACATCAGAACCTTGTCAGACATCCCTGGAGTTAGATGAGTTTGTTTTGCCTTTATCTGGTAGAAGAAATGAATAAAATATATCACTTTTAGCTACTTTTAGGAGGAAGATTTTTGACCCTACAGAGACTTTAGTTTGGCCCCAGCACTTGGAAACACAGGAGCTAAAGATGCATGACTGAATGAATAAAAAAGTAGTTCTGGCCTGTGCCCTTCTATGTCATCCACAATCAGCACAATGACTGTGAGAGGAGCCCTTTGCTAGACACTGGCATTGCAGCATTGAAAAGGACACCACACCTACTCTCGAAGACCTCCCATTCCCACCAAAGACACTCAGCTATTGCAGTATTGAAAGGGACACCACACCTACTCTTGAAGACCTCCTATTCCCACCAAAGACACTCAGCTAAGTAAACCAACTTGCCAAAGTTAACTAAAGTTTGAGGAAAAGTGCCTGGAGAGAATATACACTCTACACTCAGAAAGAACGAAAGAAAAAAAGAAGAAGAAGAAGAAGAAGAGTATTAGTGAGCTGGAGGCCTGCTTTTAAACAGCCATGAGTTTGAGGAATCAGATTCAAAATGTGGAAAGCAACATTTCAACTCAATGCTCAGCTGAGTTCTATGAAAACACAACTAAAAGCAAGAGAAAACTCAATTTGGTCCCATGAGGACAAATGTGTGTGGGCAAAGACATTATCCCTTTAGCCAAAAACCAAACAACCACAAACATTTAGCGAGACCCTATTATGAGTCAGGAGCAGTGCTAACATGGGGAACAAAGATAAGTGAGGTATAAGTCTACCCCCAAGGAGCTTGCAGACCAGTGGAAAAGACAGATGTAAAAACAGGCAACTAATGATATCACGACATTGTGCTAAGAGATATTGTGAAGTGTGTGCAAAGTGTTATAAAGTGTGATCAGAATTTAGAGGAGAGAGAAACTCTGCCAGAGGCACAGGAGGCCTCAGAAGGTATATTGGCTGATGAAGGATGAACTGGTGCTGATGTTGCAGAAAAGTAGAGATGAGTTTGGGAAAAGGTGCTTCCGACTTCAAGATGCCTCACAAAAATGTGATTCTGGTGGGGAAATAAAGACAGCAGGAGAAAATTGCCCTAGGATGCTGGTAACCCATGGACCACTCTCCAGAATGTCTGAAACAGGAAATAGCCCTCCATCCTTAGTAAACACGCGAAGAGGCTGGGCTCAGTCTTTATTTGCTTACTTAATTTTGCTTTGGACAGTTTTGTTGTTTTGTTTTTGTTTGTTTGCTTGCTTTTTGAGGGGGGGGGGGTTGAGGAACAAGGGACTTCAGGAGCTGAATTGAAGGTTTCTGATCACTGAGGCCAAAATTTGTAGTCACCAAACCTGGGGGATCTCACTCTTAACAGTATTACCCATGTGACTTCTGTCAAGTCCTTTGTTTTTTTCTCAATGTCTGCCTTTGGAACTGTTTGTGAGGATTGGGCAAGTTCGAGCCCTGAATCATCCATACATAGCTATAGATACAATAAGTGGATATTTCTCACTTTTCACTACCAGAGATTGAGTCAACAAGTTAGCACTTAGTATTACATAATTGCCAAAATTCAAATTCATGTTTTCTGAACCCAAGCCAATTCACTTTAATCCACCATTTTTTCTGTACTGTTTGCTAACAGAATAAAACAAAAAGATCCCTTAGAACACAATGGTTTTAATTGTGTTATCTTAGCATAAAACTATTATTCTTTTCATTAAATCTGAAATGATCTGAAACATTAGCCCAGGAAGTAAATGGTGGACTAAGGTTTGAGCTCTCATGACATAGCAACACAATGAATAAAATCTTATGCTCCCATACAGCAGGTATGGAACCTGGGAAACTCTAATTGCATAGCACATCAGTTTCTTCATCTCTAAGAGGACATCATAGTAATCCCAAACTTTTAAGGGATTAATTTGCAATGGGAATTAAATAGAGCAATGTATCTGAAGCTCTCAGCACAGTGCCTGGCACATGGTTAGCTTTAATAAACAGACACTGTTGTCACAATCACTGTTGTCTGGTTATCTGTGAGCCTTTTCAACATCTTCCTCCTTCCCTTTTCCTCCCAAGGTGCTTCCACCCAGAATTCTAACACTGTGGAGCCAGAGAAGCAGGTCGACAACACGGTGAAGATGGCTGGTGTGATCGCTGGCCTCCTCATGTTCATCATCATTCTCCTGGGGGTGATGCTGACCATAAAAAGGAGGTGAGTCTCAACACTGCCAAGAAGATCCTGCTGATGCCAGATGACCCCCCGCACCACCATGTGATCAGGCTGTTGCTCTGTCAATTACTGTCCAGTAGAGCTTTTCTGATATAACACTCTTTTCTGGTAGAACACAAGTGCCTTGTGCTAGTGTTTGAGAGATATGTGTTGCCTCTTTGGCAAAGGGCTTTGAGAAGACCAGCTTCTAAGATGGTCAATGATTCTTATGGCTCCCTTCTGAGTCTGGTTATGATGAAATAAGTCTTCTAGGAATTAACTACTCTTTGTGATTGGTGAGGCCCTCAGGATGGTTGGGGAACTCCAGGAATACAGATGAACACAGAAGAGTAACGGTCCACCTTTCTTACCTGCATTTCCGTCTATCCACCAGTTGAGAGCAGCCTCCCGTGCTGCTCTCAACACCTACAAAGGAGTGAGACTCCAGAGACTTTCCTACTTAAGATTTATTCATACCCCATATCTCACAAACTGTCTCAACTCAATGCTACTGCTTAGTATTATCTTTCATTGGCATTTTTCCCTGGACACCTATGGGCAACTAATACAGTTTTTCTGATGTGAGATATATATTTAAATCACCTTGCTAATGAGAGCATAGGTACCAATACTTCCTTTATTCCCAAGATTCAAACTCCCACACTCATCTTCTGCTTAAGATCCAGTCACAGGTTTGAAGACAATACAAAGGAATTGAGGAGAGGGATAAAAAATGCAAACCATAAGTATGAGCCAGCATTATCACTAGGGATCATTATATATTTTTCAAAACTCGGTCTCCCGAGCATCATCTCTCTTTAGCCTTTCCCTGTAACTGTATTGTAAGACATACTTTCCTTCCCTATCTCTGTCTTCTTAGTTTTACTTTCAGGCTTCCTTCGTGGCCTCCATCTTCCCACTTTGCAGGCAAAGCTAAGAAGTCAGCATCCATGTGATGGTAGCATCTGTTCGAGCCCCATCTTTCTACAACAAAAACCATAATTTACATTAGCCTCTAAATTACAGAAGAGACTGGAGCTCTAGGTTCAGTTGGCTATGGAGTTGAGGACCATACCAGTGAGCAGAACCAGGGAATTTCTACCAACTTCAAGTTGCAAGACACTTTTCAAACTTCTTCTCAAGAGGAACAAAATGCCCCCAAAGACGACTCCAGATTCTACTCAAGAAGTCACATTATCACCAATGGAAAAAGATTGAAGACTATTATCTTTATTCCCAGCTGATGATGCAACAATGCTAGCACTATCTTCTCAGCCATGTAGCCATGAGTATGTCTGTTTCTCTCTCTCTCTCTCTCTCTCCCAATTTATGATTCAGCCAGTCTTTGTTAGAACTTGGCCTTTTATTTATATAATTTGTCTAAAACCATGGTTTCTCTTCTAAAGTAACCAGTGGAATAGCTTAGAGTTAGGATTCTCAACCAGCTATTCATTTTTCCACTGAAAAAAAAAACTAAAGTGGAGGGAAGGTGCTATGTTATCACTGGAGATAAAGAGACTTCAGAGGGTTCACCTCATTATTCTCTCATCATCATTGATAAAATGTGGCCATGCTCTATGTCCCAGCCACTGATCAATCAGCTGCTATTATTTGAGGTAGAGCATGCACTTTGAGTTCTCTGGGAGTGGTAAGCATATTGTACACATAAGATCACTGGAAGGTTTCTTAGCCTTGCTGGTGTATTAGAGGCAGAGGTGAATCTGGGAATGTCTACATAGAGAAAGTGGCCAATTTAATAGAATTGAATATCTTTGATAGACCTGAAATTTTCTGATTCTTTGCCACTGATTTGTAAGTCAGATATGTACGTCCAATTTTGCTCTTTCTAAAGCCTGGCTTAACCTACGTCACCATAGACTGTGAGCTTGTGAAAAAAAAAAAGAAACTTCACTTCCTTCTCAGCAGCTATTTCTGAAATGTGTGATTTTTCTGGGAAGGAGGAAAGGAATGGCTTTCTTTTTCTAGGGTGAGAGCACATATAAAGTGAGTCTTCTGGGTAGATTTAACCTCTTCTAGATATCTTTATCACCCCACATGTCTATAAAACTGTCAGACACAACAAACAGTTACCACATGATCACCATTTCACGCTCCTCCCCCTGAGGAAATTTCAAATCCTGTGGCAATGCACAGCTTGGGGCTGTCTGATCTATGCTTACATATGTTACATATATGGACATGTTTCTGCTGGTGGATTAGAATATTTATCAGATGAGTGAAGTGGGGTGGGGGTTAAAGAAGAGTAGAGGAGAAATAAGGGCAAGGGAAGAAAAAGGAAGGGAGGAAAGGTAAGGCAGAGAAGGGAAAGAAAGAAGTTAAGCATGGATCTGCTTCTTTCTACTAACCCACAGTGTTTCCCCATGACTAGAGATGCTTCGAAGACAAGGAAAGCCCCAGTGAACTCAGTCCTTCAGTGGGATTCTGCTGGCTCCAGCCCAGTGTATCAATATGGGGAATATTAGTCAATTTAGTCCACTACTAACTTGCTGTTAGCCAAAAAGCTACTCATAGCTGAAAGGGGGGATATTTTAAGGAACAGGAACACTGGAATCATAAGCAAATCAATCCACCTCAGGATCCTTTCAGAGTCCCACTACCACATACAGTTTCTCAGCCCAGGGGAGAAGAGGCTAACTACCTGCTATATATCCTTCATTGGCTTGACCTTGCCCAAGACATCTCTGAGTCAGCCATAGTCTCGTGGATGCAGTAGCTATCTGGTTCTTTTTGTTTTCTATTCCCTATGTCTCTAAGTCCTGAATTGAGTTTATCACAGTTCTTTCAAGGCTATAGCCAGAGTTGTGTTTCCATAAACACAGTTGTCCCCAGATTCCCCCTTTTGGGGGTTCACCACCATTGATGGTAAAGCTTACTTGCCACTCTCCAGTCTGTCTTCTTGCTAGGAATTTCCTCTGTAACAAAACTAGAAAGCAGACAGAGGGTGTACTTAAAGTACAAAAGATACAAGGAAGGACTTAATGAAGAAATTAATTTACATTTAAATGACTTAAGAAGGAGAAAGGAAGTGAAATAGGAAGGAAAACATCAATAATAAAACTTGGCAAATGTTTTATGATCTTGCCTTGGCCTTGTTTTATATTGGAGAGAGGGTTCTTTAGAGATAAATGTCAAATACTATTGTCAATGGGAGGTTTGCATATTCTTTTATGGTTTCCAAAAGGCTCAAGTTAAAGTTTCAAATTACTTATTAGTCACTCTTGACTAATCTTCTTTGATTGTGGAACATTATAATAATATGCTAATATAACAATAAGCATATATAATCTGGGCATTATGAAAAGAGGACCCTAAACCCTTCTGACACAACAATTGATTTCCAATGTGGTTTTGGCTATACTCACTGAAAGATATACATCCTTTATTCTATCATTAGGGAATTATTCTCTTTTCTTTCTGGATTGTCCAGTTCTATCTAGACTTCAGACTGTTCCAGAATGGATAGTCTAAGACATATACCATGCCATTACATAGTAACACATACCCCCTTTTTTTCTCTTTCTTTTCTCCCCCCGAACTCCTGATGATGAGACGCCCTCATTGCTAACACCTCTAAACAGTCCAAAGTTCATCTTACCCTTTACTTTCTTACTTTAGAGTCCTTAGACTCCAAAGAAATAGGCAAGTGAGAGATTGTGAGGCTGCTTAGCTTGTTCTTTACCTAGTACCATAGAGCACTGGATATTCTTGATGCAAATTAAGATAGAAATCTCAAGTCTTTGTGCCTTACCCAATACAGCTTGATGGCTGAAGCTGTCATTAGCCATTCTCATATAAGAACCTCTACAAATTAGTGTTTGTTGGGGTATGATATCCCATGCAAATGCCCACAAGTTTTATGTAGTTCAGAGTCAAGCTGCTTTAGGATTTACTCCCTGAGACCTGAGCATGGAGTCTGTTGTAGTTTCCTTTCTGTTGCTGTGATTAAAACAAAACAAAATAAAATAAAACACAGTCAAACCAAAACAATTTAGGAAAAGAAGAGGTTTATATCAATCTTCAAGTTACAGTCTATCATGGAGGGCAGTCATGGCAGCAACTCAAGCAGATTCTTGAAGGCATGCTTACTTACAACAAAAAACACAGAAACAAAAACCAAAAGCAGCAAATCAAGGCAGTGAGACAAAACATGCCAAAACTAACCCAAAATCTCACTAAAAAAGAAAATAAAAACATGGAGTTTATTTTGTATTGAGTTGAAGTCTTACAAGAACACTGCAGACTTTGTTCTACATACCTATGTAAGGAATTAGAATGCCTTATACCAACAGGAATGCTCACCTCACACTGTAGCAAAATTATTCTAAAACTATCATCAATGTGCTAACAGCAATGCTGCCGATGGCATTCACACACTGACCTAATTTCTTCATTTTCCACTTAAACTGCCAAGTGTTGGGATTGTCATTGTCACCCTTCTAATGATCGTGTCGCATAGGGCTGATGGTGCTTCTATTCTGCTCCTGTTTTGTTCTTAAAATGGAAAGTGAAGCTCAAAGGGGTTATATTAGCTGGCCAAGGTGCTGGGATACATTTAGAAATAAATCCAGACTGTGATTCTGGAGCCCAAGATGCTAATTTTCACCAGTCCTGAAAGACCAGTAGAAAGCAAGCAAATCATAGAGCAGGAGACAGGAGCTCGGGTTCAAACACTACTTTCCCTCTCTTAATTTTGATATACTCAGGCTTTGGATATATGATTCTCCAGATGACACATTTCTTTGCCTACAATAGTCTTATCACTGTCAAATGATGACCCCCAGGTTCTTCTAAATATCACTACCATGTGTGATGGCCTAACATAATGTCTTCCCACGTACCAATCCCATCAAGGTGGCCCAGTGACAGTCCATTGTGTGCAGCCCAGTCCCCAGGCTGCCTGTTTAAGTCTTCTTCTGTGTGTTTATCACATAACCTGTTTCTGATCATTTTGCTGGTCTGAAGAAGGAAGTATCCCATGAGGG